CGGGACCCCAGCTGCTCCACGCCCAGGATCTCTTTCCCTGAGGACCCAGCCCTCGCCTCTGCGAGAATGAACATATTTGATAGATTTTTCTTAACAAAAGTTAGAAAATTCAGCTCCTTTCTGTCTTGGAGCTAGTAAAGACTCAAGTGATGCCTCAGAAGGGGCTCTGAGTTCTTGGATGGGAGTTTTGCTCCCTGTTGGGTGTGATGAAATGTTGAACCCCTCCTTCCACTTTTTTTTTTTTTAAACCAGGGATGTCTGTTGAAATAAAACATTCAGTCTGACAGATGCTGCCTGCCCTGACCCTTTTCCTGCTTTTTAGTAAGGTCTCCTTTTCGATTCTGGACCTTTTCTCATTTATTATCCTGGTCCTGGATCTCAGTTTTTACCTTATGTAAAGCAGCCTCCAAACTATCATGAGCTGCCTCATGATTACTTTGCATTTTTTCTGTGTACTCAACATCTAAGCTGGGGTCATGGCCATTGAAGACTCTAGGGATTGTATGTACAATTTTGTATGGGACAGGGGCCTGTGACCCCATGTATTGAAAGTATTGCTGATCTCAGTTCTATCTTCAAAGATTGGGGAGAGTCAAAGAGATTGTTTCTGTGACATGAAAGAGTTGTTGGACATGGACAAGTGGTTAAATGCCTGTCCCTAAAGATGATTCACATTTATACTTGCTGTCATCCACCTGAATTGGTTTGGAAGCTTTGCGTAGAACTTGGTGGGTAGACCGATCTCTTTGGAGACTTCTGGACTCCTAGCTTTTTGCTAGGGAGGGAGGGGCAGGTCGGGTGGGTGAGTGAGTGGGGAAGAGAGGTGCCAGGGTCTGTGGACTTAAGTTAGCTGTAGGGCACTGTGATGCTCAGGAGCCACAAGATGGGTGGCGTGATTCCTCCTCAGGGCAAGGTTCTAGTAGAGATGGAAGATACCACATATCGGTCACAAAACAGCATGCAAATCCTACTTCAGACCACTGCTGAAATGCGTTGCTGAGGGCACTGGGACTCCAGTAGGGCTTAACTGCTGTGACTTCCTACTGAAAGGAGTGTTAAACTGCAAGAAGAAAGGCTATGGATGCCAGGCAGAGGAGCACTGGCTGGATGAAGATGCCTGACTCCAGATGTTGCCAGTTCTGAACAGGGAAACAGGACTTGGTGTTTGATAGTCCTGGTGACAGAGGAAGGTTAAGGCCAGAGGGGCAGTTTGAAGGAGTGTGTGATGGGAACTTGGGGATGAGAAAGAAGTGAGGAATCTCACCATGCTTCTGGTCTTGTGGGCTGGGGTAAGTTGAGGAGTCTGTTTCTCATTAAGTACAGAGGAGGGTTTCATCACTTACAGGAAAACCACCCGCTTATCTGAAATCTGACCTACTTCGGGTTGGAGCCAGACAGGGCTCCTGCATCCCACAGGGACACTTGGGCTGCAGTTGTCCGAGTCAGTGCATCCATCTAGCCTTCAGCACGGAGCATTAGCCTGCACCACCACTCCCACCATCCACTAGGCACTGCGGGCTGAGATCGCCCCTCTGGGGTGTCTCAGTGAAGTGAGGTGGTGAGGTAGCTCAGCAGGGCCCAAAAGTCTGAGGTCCCAAGGAATCAAATGCTCTTTTTGTATCCACTATGCTGTAGATGAAGCCCTGCGCTCCTGAGTTACCACACTCCTGGGATTCGACAGTTTAACTTTCTTATTTTAGGGGCTACATCAGGATGGAGCTGGAAGTGTGCACTGGGAGGCAAGACATGGTGGGCAGGGAGAGTCCCGGTGTCTTCTGGGATACGACAGAGTTAAGCCAGATATCTTTAAGCTTCCTCTTGCCTCCCACTTCCTTTGGTATTCTGCAAGTAGTCTTAAGCCATTTTTTAAAAGCCACATTTTATTCCCTACCAAAGATGACATTTTATTTGGTGATTGGAATTTCCTGGTCACCAGAAGAAATACTGACAAGTTAGAAAATGGGCATACTTTATTTGAGAGGGCTCTCTGAGGCAATAGCCTCAAGTGATGAACAGGAAAGAGAAGACAGGTATAAGGGAGAGGGAAGGAGGAATAAGAAACGATAACTTGGCTAAAATAGGCATGGCGGCAACCGCTGAGGGACAGAGGAAGGAGGGGGTGAAGGCCTTGGTCAGAAATGGATCCAAATGGCCCTGGAAGTGGTTGGAGGGGCGGGGGCAAAGTCCGAGTGTGCTGTGCTGCACTGATAGGGACAGTGGAGCTAAGGAAGCCGAGGTCCACAAGGATCAGACTTAGGAACTGCACAGAGATGGCGCAGCTGTCATTGCTCCTACCCCAAAGCCTCTGGCCCCTGGGCAGGGACCCAGCCAGGTCTTCACCCTAGCTGAGTGCTGAGCTTGCTGTCCAGGAAGCCAGAGTCTGTTGAGGGGATGGTTGAAGTTCTGTGGGGCCTGGGGAGGCGGCAAGGATGCAGGAATGCTCTGCTGTCTGCTCCTGACCTTCTCTTCACCCCCTCTCCCTCTGCTCAGCTTTCCTTCAGGTGGAGACAGATGTTCTAAGGCCTGGAGAGGTAGTTGAGGGTGGGGCCTTAGTCCTCCTTGAGTGGGTTCCTGGGGAATGATGAACCGCAGACTTGGGATAGCTGAGGTTGGGGAGTTAATAGCTTCTCATCCCCTCTGCCCCTGCCGTGTCCACCTGGGCCGAGTTACAGGATGTCCTACTAAGACTGTCTACTGCATTAGCTGAAGGAACTGACAGGATGAAAGGAGCAGCATAAGGGAGACAAGAGCAGGAAAAAATACAAAGAGACATTGGAGTCAGCCATGGTGCTGAAGGGGTTGGAACCGGAGGGAGAAGCTGGAACATTCACTTGCAGCAAGGCCTTTGCAGGCTCTGAAGGGCATCAGGGGCTTGGCAGCAACAGCTCTCCTCAGATCTAAGAGGGGACTGAGCCAGAGAAAGCCCTGCCTAGAGGAGGCAGGAGGGATGCAATAACCATGGGAGACCGAGTCAGTTGGGAAGTGCCACCACCACCCACCGCCCCCTGGCCTGAGTGGCCTCTGCCCGGGCAGAGCAACCTGCTCAGCACGACTGCCAGGCTCCTTTTCCTGTACTAGTTACCCAGCTTCTCCATCCTGAGGTCTCACCGCAGCCCCAGGCCTCCCCTTGGGAGTGGAGTCAGCAGAACGGTGCAGGGGTGCCCATGGTTGTGGTGAGGAGAACCTTGCAGCCAGAGCCCGAGGGAGGACCGGGGCCTTACCTGGCCTGGGAGGGACCCCACGGTATAAGGGGGAGCACTGGATTGGGATGACAAGATCTGGTCCTGACTGCTTCCAGTTCCTGCCACCTCCCCTGTCTAGCCCTCAGTGTTCTTATTTGGTTGAACCAAAGAGTCAGTCACAAAGGACCTGAAGTCCCTTCAAGCCCCAGTGGTCCTGCTCTGTCAATCCCCTCACTTGCATGGTCTCATCAGCTCTGTACAGCAGCCCTGTGTGCAAATAAGGCATTGCCTCCATTTCAAAAGAATGTAGGGAGCAGTGGCACAGAAAAAGTTTCCCTGTCAGAGGCTGGGCAGCTTGTTAGCACAGAGCCACAACAGGAACCTAGGGCTCCGGATTCTGATCCCACTCGCTCTGGTGAGTCCACCCCTAGCCATGCGGAGCTGAAGAGGGAGGGAGAGGTTCCTTGGGTCCCGCTTGCCCCTCTCCAGCAGGCCTTGCTCCTTCAGAAACACCACGTGGGTCACTAGGCATTTCTGACCCCTCCCTGCACCTGCCCATCCTGTTCTATCTTGAAGGCTAAGGAAATCCTGTTTTCTGACATTCTCATTTCTAGTTCTTGCTATACAGTTAGCTTTTCCTTTTTTCTTCCTCCTCCCCTGCCACAAGGACTCAGCCACCAGGTGACTCCCTGAGTCTCATCTAAGGCCTTTCTTGCACTTTCAGCCTACCCTCCCCAAAGCCATCTGCTCCCCTCCCCTCCCCCATCTTCCTCCCACCTCTTCCCTCGCTCAGGAGGGAGTTCAGATCTACAGACAGGAGGAAATGGAACCCCAAGTCTGTTGACTCAGCAACCATATTTCTCCTTAAGCTGATTAGCGCTGGAGTGGAAAGGAGGGGAATTCACTAGTCACTGGAGCTGGCCCTGCACCAGGCTGGGGGTGGCGTGGTGGTGCAGCACCCACATCTAGGGAACATATCTTCAGGGAAGGTCTGGGGGACTTCCGTGATTCAGGCAAGTACCCAGGGCCCCTTGGCAGGAAGGGGGACCCCGATGGGCCCTGATTGTCTTGGCTGAGCTCTCACAGGGATGAGTAAGAAGAGGCTGCCCAGATGGGACCCCAGGAGTGCTCAGAAGCCCCCTGAGAGGCTCCTGGGGAAGTCTCTGCTCTGAGCCCTGAGCGCAACCCAAGGACAGACACTTCCCTGCCTCAGAGAGCTTCCAGTATGAGACAAGGATAAGATCTAAGGGAGATTCTTCTAGGCACTTGAAGCCCAGAGCATGGAGCTTGGCCATAGTAGGGCAGAGAGAGGAAGCCTCATGAGGGAGACAGAGAAGGCCTGAGCGCAAGAGGCTGGGAAGACACAAGAGAGTGCCTTGGAGCCACTGTGGGTGGGCTCCCCATCCTCCTAAGGGGCTCATACACATAGGCTCCCTACCCCCCTCCCCCAGTCCTGCAGGGCTTGGCAGGGGAGTTGGGGAAGGAGGTGCAGGGGGCTAACTTTCAACCACTTCCCTCCCTGCCCTCTTTCTTTCCTGGCATCCCCCAGGTGATACAGCCACCCCTCTGCCCCTGGATAGCTGCCCAGCCCACCTCCACTAGGGAAGGAATACTTTGCAGAGAGAGGTCTTTGTCCCTTGCTTTGGTGTCTCCCGGCCCCCAGCCCCCAGATCTGTGACACTTACCCATGTGTCTCTCAATGCCTGGCCCTTCTCCCCTCCCTGCAGTGGCCATTCAACCACTTTCCTTCCACAGTATGGGAGAGAGAGTCAGAGACGGAGACAGAAGGAGCCTAGAGCTCTTGAATCCCTGTTGGGGGAGGTGGTTGACGATGATTTATTAGCCAGACAAGAATCAACAAACAAGTTCTAACATCTGTTCTCGCCAAACCATTCCTCAGACAACAGCAGCTTTGGAACAGGGCCCAGACTCAAAGGCTCAGAGGGCCAAGGAAATCAGACTCCAGGAGGAGAAACCAGGGCAGTGGGATGCAGCAGGGCCCTCCTAGCCCACTGTTTTAGAAGATGGCCAAGCACTGAGCCATTGGATTCATAATGACTCTTGGGAGAGAGCCAGTGGGTGTGTCCCTAAAAGGAAGCTGACTCCACATTTGCTCCTCTGACCTCCAGGCTCTTTGTGGGGTCCCAGACCAGTCAGGGGAACAGGTCTAAGCTGAGATCTGGAGGATGGGAACCAGCACCCAGGCCCCCATGAGGTGGAACTCTGGACAGCAGCCAGATTTCTTATCTGAGGAAATCCCTGACATTCCTGTGGATGTGGGGTATGGAACAGAGGACTATACAGAGGAATCAGGAAGCTTGGGTTCTAGTCCTTGACCTTGGCTAAGCCACTATCCCTCTCTGGTTGTTTCCTTATCTGCACAGTGAGGGGGTTGGACTTAATCAGTAAGGGCAAAGTAGATGCTTCTCTTCCTCCTTCTCTCACCCATGGCAGATATCGCTAATCAATCACAGTGTATCAGGTGTTCTTTTCTGCTGAGTTCAAGTATGACCTTAACATCCTTTCCAGCGCAGCGCTCTAGGAAGCCACAACCAATGGATCGGAGTTGGCATGCAAGGTGACACCTTTTTGCCATCTTTGCAATAGATGATGGTTGAGGTCCTTGCCAGCTTTGATCACCTGCAGTTTGTTCCATCCGCATTTCCTGAGGAGGGCGCCTGGGTGTGTGTGAAGGTCTCTCGATCCACTGTTCCAAGTTATCCTCCGCCAGCTCAGACTCACAAGCTACTGAGAAGGCCCCGGGGGGAGCCAGGCCTGTCCTCTGTCCTGAAGCACCTGTCTAGAAAAGTTGTGGGGGAGGGTGTGCCCCCAGCGGGGTAGGGGCTGGTGGGGCATGGAAAGGCCTTGTTCAGCCGCAAAGTTCTCAGAATACAGTTGCTGGCCACTTGGATTCTGTAAAGAGAAGAATGGTCCCAGATCACACCCTCTACCCTCTGCCTCTTAGGTCTACCTGCAGCCTCAATGGATAAGACAGTCTGATCTTAACAGTCACTGGCCTGCAGAGAGGAGGTCTAAACCTTTCTCATTCATTCAACAAACATTTGTTGAGCACCTGCTCCGTGCCAGGCAATGTGCTGAGTGCTCTGGAAACAGATGAATAAGTCCCAGCCCCTCACACTCTGCTGGGGAAGAGGGAAGACGGGTGTCTGTGATCAGTGGCACGACAGGTGTGTATAAAGCCTCCGTGTGGATGGCCTCTGCAGTCAGGTCAGGGAAGTCTCTGCAGAGAGAAGGGCAAGCTGGTCTGGAAGGATGATTAGCAGGTTGCTGGGCAGCGGCAGTGTGCACTTTCAGGAAGTGTACAGGCAGAGGGACTGGCATATGCAAACCCTCAGGAGGCTTAAAACCACTTGGTGTGTCTGAAGAAATGTGAACAGTTCTGGAAGGATGCGAGCAGCCGGTGGTACAGCTGAGGAGGTGGTCCCCCCAAGTACAGAGGGCCTCACGGGCCAGGTAGCTGTTTTAGAAAGACCTTTCTGACTTTCTTAGGGCAGAGTGAATCACAAGTGGCAAGATGAGAGATGATGGGGGCTGAAACTGGGAAAGGAAAAATGTATTTAGGAAGAGACTCGGCAGGAATCAGTGGCTTATCAAGGAGTGAGGGTGAAGAGGAGGGAGGTGTCAAAGGAGTCAGGATTCTGGCTTGAACAGTTGTGTGGCTGCAGTGGTATGAGACCAGTTAAGGAATACAGAGAGAGAACTCGGGTAGGGGGGAGTACAGTGAGAGCATTGGCTGCACTGAGGTCAAGAGGCTGTGGGACACCGGGGAGCTGGGCAGAAGCCTGGAGAAAACTTTGGATAGAAACATGGACTGGTGACACCAGCTCTTGGATGGCAGCAGGCGGCAGGAGCCTGCCTAAGTGTGAGCCGGTACCAGGGCTGCGGAGGTGGACCCTGGTGCGCCCCGCAGTGGGGGAGGGTGAAGGAGGGCCTGGGAGGCGGGGCAGAAGCAGAGGGAGAGGGTGGGAGCAGCCCGTGGGTCTAACACAGCTCAGGAAACAAGACACTGACTTGAACTGATCAGTGAGAAGAGTGGGTAGGTGTGGGGGATGGAAGGAGGAGACAGGGAGTGTGTGGAAGGAGAAAGCATGCCGGTGCCCCCTCCCCTGAGCTCATCTTAGGTGACACAAGGGACTCCAAGTGCTCTTTTTCAGGAAGGCAGGGCCCCTGAAGGCTGAGAGGAAGGAGCCAGAGCAGGAGAGGCCCAAGTTCAGACTGGGCAGCAGAGGAGGAGTGGAGCCAAGATTTCAGGCACAGGATGGGTGAGAGGGACACAGGCTCAGGTAGGGGAAGGCTGAGGGGGCCCTGTGAGGGACCTCTGTTTTCTCCGAGAAGTGGAGGGGATGGGGACTTGACAAAGGGGAGTCAGGTCCCAGGAACTCCAGGCAGAGGAGAAGGAGCAATCTCTTGAGATGGAAAAGGGTTGCTGGCAGCCTGGACCTCTGTCCTTCCCATCTCAGGTGAGACCTCAGACTTAAACCCAGGCATCCAGTCTCAACATCTTCTCCACCCTCCCCAGTCTAGCTTTCAGGAAGGCCTCCTCGTGGTCTAACTCTTCCCTGTATCCCCATTTACCTGGCTTTCTGGGACGGGTCTGGACTTGCACTTCCGTAGGATTTCGTGCCTGAGGATGCGCGGCAGGCTCTCACCCCCTGAATCAGGCACTTTCACCTCCACCTCGGCATAAATGTTGCTGGGGGTTTCCCCGGGGCTGCCACGGCCCATGGCATAGAAGTCTATGGGTTCATCAGGTTCGTGGTAGATGGGGATGGAGGGCTTAGGGGGCGGGGTTGGGCGGGGTCTCGAAGCGGAGCTTGTGTAGACTTCATAGGGCAGCTGAAGTTTGGCGGGCACGGGAGGCCTGGGCCTGGACGGCTGGGAGGGCCAGGAGAGAAGGCAGAGAGGGGAGGAGAGCGCGTCAGAACAACCCAGGCAGGGCCAAAGCTGGAGCCCTAGCCCAGCCTGAGCATCGGTCCCCAGTAGGCTTCCCGCCTCCCCACTGGCCCCGCCCCCTCCCCCGGCCGCGCCCTCCTTTTCGACCCCGCCCTTCCCTCAGGCCCTGCCTCCTTCCTCAGCCCCTCCCGCCCAATACCTCCTGTGGCTCCCTAGCCCCTTCCTTCTGCGTGGCGGATGCGCTCTGCTCCTTTTTGAGGATTGGGCTATACTGAGGTTGTGAGTTCTGGCTTTTACTTCCAGAGTCTGATTCTTCAGTCTTTAGGGACAGTCCCGCGGGCTCAGGAGTCTGCGGGAGGGTTGAGGGGGAGTAAGCCTCAGGGACTTGGTGCAGGACGGATGACGGGTGGGACTGGGCAGGTAATCCCGGAGGACGGAGTAATCTGGTCCAGGTGGAGGATGTGGGGGCGGGGCGGGGCACAGAAATTTGGCCCACACTGGGTTCCTGGATGAGGAAGAGGGGATGGAGGTGGCAGGGAAACAAGGAGGTGGGGCAGTTGCTCCGGTCACAGGCCACATCTAGTATTAAACTTAACTTCATCTGAAACACAGGGCCAGGCTGGTCACCATTTGTGCCTGTGGTTGCAAAACTGCAACAATGCGTTAGAAGTTTTCAGCCTAAAAATTTTCAGCATGGGGAGAGATCTCCAAGACTGCTGTGTCTGTGTTTATTTCTGCAGGTGCCAGAGGACAACTTTACGCAGCTATAAGCTAGATATTTTAGGGACATAGTTACTGCCTCAGGGGAGAGGAGCCATCCTCACAGAGGGAGGTTTCCTCCCTGTGTTAGGTGTGCTTTTCCCTCCGCATTTGTCCCGGGGTTCACAAATGTTCACCGCATGTCCATTACTTCTAGGAGGCTCAGACCATAGGGCTTTTCTCTTGCTTCTGCAATCCACCAAGCGCATGTCTCCATCTAGGGGTGTACAGGCACTGCAGACTTCATGGATCCAAATTAGAATTCTTTTTCCCTGCCCCAACCCCCTAAGAGTTCTCAGCATTCCCTTTATGAATACAAAGCAGTACCTCCAACGACCTGCTGAAGTAGTGCCTTAGGAGTCATCCTGGACATCCTCTCCCTTCCTCCTCACATCCACTGCTCCGTCCACTGCATAAATATATTTAGATCTGCACACCTCTCTCCATGCTCACAGCCACCACTCTGGTCCAGGCCTCCTAATTCCTCCCCCTGTATTATCTTGCCCTGCCAACCCATCTCCACTCCTCGGTCAGAGTGAGCCTGCAGAAGTTCCCCTAGCCATCGTCCGTGGCTGCCTGTTGCTCCAGGATAAAGCGCAAACTCCAGAGAACTTAAGTCACCCAACCCTCTGAGCCCTGGCCATAGAGCTTGGTCTCTGACAGATCTGCCTTCATCTCTCTCAGCTGCAGCTGGCTCCCCTCACCTCCAGACTTTGCTAAAACCCATTGCTACTGCTTGGGAATCTTCAAGTCTCTATCTACTCCTCACAAAACTCTGCACAAGAGTTGCCACATAGGAACAGTCCCACAGAGAATACTTCTTTGAACTGATACTCACTAAGCTCCAAGAAACTATTCTAGCCCAGGTCATCAGTGACCTTCTGTTGGCCAAATCCGATAGTCAATTCTGGACCTGCTGGCACCTGCTCTTCCTTGATGCATTTTCTTTGCTTGGCATCTAGGGCATCATCCTCTTGGTTCGTCTCCTCTCTCCCTGGCAGCTCCTTTTCAGTTTTCTTTGTAGGTTCCCCTTCATTTCTGCAAACTCTAAAAATGCTGGAATTCTTTTCTTTTCCATTTACACTTACTCCTGAGTGAGATTTCATCCCTCCTGAGGGCTTTAGACTCAATCGATCTGCATGCTGATGGCTCCCAAATGTTTCTCTCCAGCTGAGACTTCTGTCCTAAACTCCAGATCCATATAGTCCCACTGCCTACTTGACATCTCCATTTAGATATTGAATGGATATCTCAAACCATGAATGTCAAAACTGAACCCCTGCCTCCCCAGACTTGGTCCTCTGATAGCCTTCCTCATCTCAGTCAACAACTCCATCTTTTCACATTCCTCATCCAATCCTGTAAGAACCCTATCAGCTCCACCTTCCAAACAGATCCAGCATTCCACCTCCTCACCCTTCCACCTCTACCAGCCTGGTCCAGGCTTCCATCTTCTCTCCTGAAGTTTTGTAGTGGTCTCCATCTGGTCACCCATGTTCCTCCCAAACTTACAAGGTCATGTCACTCTTTAGTTTTTAACTGTCCAGTGTCATCCCGCCTCACACAGAATAAAATCCCAAATCAAACAAGAGTCTACAGGGCCCCCTACCTTCACTCCTCTGATCTTATCTCCTACCTCTACCTGTAGTAGCTTTCTCATCTCATCTCACCAGGGATGCTCCTACCTCAGGGTCTTTGCACCTGCTGTGCCCTCTACCTAGGATGCTTTTCCTCTAGTTGTCTGCATGACCCCCTCCCTTACTTTGGCCTCTGTTCAAATATCCCCTTACCAGAGTAGCCTTCCCTGACATCCCTATGTAAAATAGCCCCAACCCTGTCACTCCCTGTTTCTGTAGTTTCTGTTTGTTATCCATATTATCATTCGTTGTCTGTCTCCTCTCCCTAGAATGTAAGCTCCACAAAGGTAGGGATATTTGGGTCAGTTTTGTTTACTCTTTTGAAATAGCATTTCCCAGTGCCCAGACCAATGCCTGACACATAATTATCCCTCAGAACTGCCTGAACTTCCTCAGGGAGGCACTCTCTGACCTGGCTCCCCACCAAGGGAACTAAACAGCACCCCACTCTGTATTTCCTCTTATCACATTCTCACACTTGGTTCCTATTATTTGTCTCTGCGGCTGGTGAGCAAGCTTTGTGGGTTTGACACCTTCTGTCTTGTCCATAGCTCTATTTCCAGGGCCTGCCAGCACCTGGTATATGCTAGGTCCTCAGTAAATATCTCTTAATTAAAAAAACAAATGACCTGTCTGCTAGCTGGCCACTCCCAGCCCTTCCAGTCTTTGTGTGGCTGATCTTTCAAGGACCCCTTCCTCAACACATCTTTCTGGAAGGGCTTGCTGCGGAGATGTGTAAGCACGGGAGGTCTGACTGGGTCGTCCGTAGAGTGAGAAGGTGCCTGGTGTCGCGGTCCTGCGGCCTGAACTCTGTGTGGGAAGGGGCGCTAGCCTGGGTCTCTGGAGTCAGGTCAGTGCCAGGGCGGGGTGTAGGGGCGGCGTACCTGACGGGCAAGGGGCTCGGTGAGCTTCTCCCGGTAGGGGCTGAGCGGGCACGCCGTGTAGTGCCGCAGCAGGTCCTGCAGCCGCGCGTGGGCGCTGTCCTCGCCCAGCACCACGTGGCGCCCGTCCCGGAGCTGGGCCAGCAGGAAGTGGCGGCAGCAAGTCCGGCCCCTGGAGGGCACCAGTCAGGATCAGACCTGTTCCCTCTTCCCAGCCAGGACGTCAGTACGAGTAGTGACCCCTACCCGCCCCGCGTAAGGGTCTCCTACCCTCATTAGCTTAGGGGCTGAGCGTAGAGCCCCTGCCTCTGCTGGGGATCAGCATGAAGTTCTGCCCCTCACAGGTCCTTAAGCACCAAGTCCTGCCCCCCGATTAACCCAAAGCCCCGCCCCCTTGCCCCCCAGCGCATCGCCCCTCCCCTCACCTGTAAGTCAGCACAAAGGTCACAGCGCTCTCGCTGAAACGCACCAAGTAGCATCCCTGAGGCTTTGTCTCCAGCAGCCTCTCGGCCTCTCTGTGAGTGATGGAGAAGACACGGGAAGGCTGCTCTGACATCCATTCTCACCCCCATCTCATTGGCTCTCATGGGGGACCCATATACCCTAATTAAGCAGGCTGAAGTGGCTAGAGAAGGGTGGAGGTGGGAGAGAGGATGTGGGCACTGCACTCCGCTGCAGGGACTGGGCAGGGACAAGGACCAGGGGTCCCACTCAGGAGACTCCCAGCCCTGGATCCTTCTGGCTGCATTCTGGAAAAATAGCCTGGGGTGGGGGGCTGGGGGGAGGCAGTTCTGCAGCTTCAGCAACTGGGACCGTAATAGACTTCTGGATTTCAGAAGTCATAAGCTGAATGGAGGAGGTGAACACAGATACAGGAGAAGGGAAGCTGAGATGGAAGGAGGAACTGCAAGGGAGGGAAGAAAGGAGCAGGCTGGTGAAAACCAGATGGAGGACGAGAGAGATGGAGACAGAGGTGGAAACTGAGCACTAGAGGCCCAAGAGACAGGAGGGAAGTTGAGCCTAGAGGGGGGAAACTGAAGCACAGGGTGGGGGGTTTGCGCTGGACCTTCTCCAATGATCTCCCCCAGGAGAGCTGCCTCAGAAAATAGACTTGAAACCTCCAGGAGTCATAGCCTGGGCTTGTAGCCTCAATCTACTCTTAACTGACCGCAGGACCCAGGACTGGCCCCTGCCCTTCTCTGAGCCTGTTTCTTCCCCTGTGACTCACCTCCGGGTGATGAAGCCGTGGAACCAGGCGGGGGCTGCCCCGTGCTGCAGGAGCTCACGGGCCTGGGTCTTCTGGAACCAAGCTTGAGTCTCAGCCTGCAGGGACAGGCCTCCTTCCTTAGGTACCTCCTCAGCCTTCCCAACGTCCTTTGGGCTGAAGGCAGCCCCCAGGGTCTGGGGAGGTGCCTAGATAGGGAGAGAGAGTTCAAGGAGGGGGAATTAGCCTTGATTAGTGGTCCTTCTCCTGACTCCAAGTCAGCTGCCTCAGAGCCAGCTTCACATCCCTTCATCTAGCCCCTCCTGGACATGTGGAGGAAGCTCCCCACCCCCCTCTCCCATCTCAGTTGCTTATTTTAGGATATTTTAGGACCCAGAAAGTCCTTCCCAAAGTCAAACTTAAATCTCTTGCTTCAACTCCAGCTGTTTTTGTTTCTAGGGAATTTCCTTCCACTTCCCTCTGAGTCCCTGGGCCTTTGATTCAGGAATAGGGAGCTGTTAAGCTGCGCTTAAATGGGAGTGAGGCCTTCCAGATAGACAGAAACTCCCTGGCCTAAGCCATGAAGGGAGATGATGCAGGAGGTCACTCCAGAGGCCAGAAGGAGGGAGAGCTCACCCTACAGTTGGAGGAATTCAGCTGGTTTGTTGGGAGGGCTTCCTAATGACTGGGTGGGTGAGAAGGACTGAGACAGGGCTGCTCTGGGCAGATGAAGGCCATAGACAGAAATGCAGAAGCTTGCTTCTGGGACTCAAGTCACCATAGCTTGGTCACCTGTGGACCCTGAGCTTCCCAGGGGCATAGGAGCAGTGAGTGGGTCATTCAGCAACTGAAAGAGGAGCTCCTCATCTCTTTTCCCTCCCTCTGTGCCCCTGGCCTTGTTGGCAACCCCAGCTCATTCCTGCTTTGGCCTTTGTCCACCTGCAAGTCCTCACCCGTGGGAGGGTGGGGCAGATGAGGGAGTTGTACCTCCCGGTTCCCACTCACCACAGCGTGGACAGCCAGGGCCCTGGGGGTGGACTGAGCCTCCTCAGCCTTTGGAGCCTGGAGTCTGGGTCCCGGAAGCAAGTTCAGGTCCTGGCAGCTCCTGGGATTCAAGTCCACGGGCAGGAAGGTGCTGAAGTTCAAGGCGGGGGCTTCTGGACTCCCTGTTCGCACAGAGAGGTTTCTCAGTGAAGGCCTACCTCCCTCCCTGCCACCCACCCCTCCTCCAGGCCTCTCACCAGGGACCTGGAGGGCCGGACAGTCATGGCAGGAGAAATGCAGGAGGGATGGCAGAGATGATTTCTCAGGGAGGAGTGAGGAGCCAAGGAGACAAGAGGGGCTGAGGTGGCAGAGGGGCTTGTCAGAGAAACTGGGCCTCAGGAAGGAGAGCTGGAAAGTCAACTGGTCATCTGGTGGCCCGGAAGTCCCTAAATCTGGGAAAGGAGGCAGATCTCCTCAGGGCAGGTCCGTCTTCTGGGCCAGGATCCTCTGCCTCCCACCCCGCTTCGTCATCCTGCTGTCTCCTTGCTCGTGTCTAAGAAGCGCTCAGCAGACCCTGCCACCTTTATCCTTGGGGCTGCATGGACCTGGAGCCCCAGAGGAGGAGAAGGAGTTGTGGGCCGCCTTGCCAGCTCTGGCTTGGGGTGGGGCCTCTCACCCCTGAAATGGGAGCTCAGGCCTGGGGGAGCGAGCGGGAAGGCGGGTGGGGGTGTGATGGGGGTCTCGATGTTCCCTCCCACCCACATTCTCCAACTTCACACTTACCTTGGGGGCATATCTGGGCCAGGGGGAACTCCATGGGGGCAGCTTAGGAAAGGAGCCCCCAGAGCAGGCTGTGTGTATGGGCTCTCAAAGGTGTGCACACTCAGCAACTCATCTCTCCTCTCACCCCTGCCCCCGGGGGCAGGAAATGTCGCCTCACCCACAGCCCTAGACTTCGCAGAGGACCCACGTCATGGAAAGCTGTAAGACAATTGTCCCTCCCCCGGAAGCCAGGCAGCTGAAGGTGGTGGCAGTGTGGTGAGTATTTGTGTCATTCTGTGTCTGGGTGTTGGGAAGCCGTTACTGCTATCTTATCTCCATCCTTCCTGATTCTCTCTCCACGCCCTCACTCCAGACTGGGATTTCCCTTTCCCTCAATCTTTGTCTCTCTCTCTCTCTCTGTCTCTGAGAGAGGCAGTGGGGATGTCAACCTCGGAAGGATAAACCGTGTAAAGTGATCGGACTTCAGGCTCCTCAGAGATTTGTTCTTAGGACACGCGAGGTGGAGGGGACAGAACTGCAACAGGAAGAAAGCGGGTCAGACTTTTGAAGGACTTTCTGAGCTCTTATGAAATCTGTGAGACCAGGGGGCAGGGAGGAGAGAGCTCCTTAAGCACATCATGGAGCTGGGTTAGGGCAAAACCAGGCAATCCCAGAGAAAGGAAGGGAGAATTTCCTCCAACTAAGCAGGTCGTTTTTAGCAGTAAGACTACTAGTGGTTGTTGTCAGTAACTTTAGTGCTGATGCCTTAAACTTGTAAAGTGCTTATCTCCTGCCACCCCATAGGACCTATCCCATTTCTCTGTCATGTGATCCTCACAAATGAGAAGGAGACAGAGAACATTATCGTTTTCCAGAAGGGTAAACTGAAGCTCAGAGGAATGAAGTACCTTGGCAAGGGTCTTTCATTGTCCCTGATGTTCATGGCAGGGTTGGGACTAGAAATCAGGTCTTCTTTTACTAATTTCACTGTGATTTAGGCCAACAGTCCTTGATTCTGTGCCAGGCACCATTCTTGGTGCTGAGAGCCCAGAGAGAAAAAGGATCTTGTCTCAAGATGAAAAGAAAGGGAAACGACTTTCTAACAGATTCTTATACAAGGTTGTGGCAAGTTAGTGGTGTGGGCTGATGCTACGGGAGCCCACCTCAAAGGCTCCTAATCTAGCCATGCGGGAGTGTAGAGGGGGTTGGGATGTCAGAAGAGGAGAGGGAGCTGAGTTGTAGAGGATGAGTAGGGTTAAAGAAGGTAGGACAGATGTTTCTAGAAGAGGACAAGCCTGTGTACAGGCTTGGAAGAGGGCAATAGGGTGGAGCAGGGGAGTGTGTGCCTGGAGAATCCGCTGCCTTGGGGGCTGCCAGTGGTGGTTTATGCAGCCGGAGGGGGCCAGGGCTGGAGCACACACTGCCTTGCACCCAGGAAGAACTTTGGAATCCCAAAACACTACCCCAGCAGTCACTGCTGGCCCAGCCATACCCGCACCCCAGGACCTTACCTCCTCCCACCCCTTAGCTGCCTGGTCCCTCTCCGCTTCCTTAAAAACTGTTGCCTTTTCCTTGATCCCAGCCCCCAGGGGTTGGAAATGAGACTGAGAAGTGCCTTAAAGATCTCCAAACTGCTCATTTTATCCAGACCCAGAGAGAAAAGTCACTTGCCCAGCATTCCCAGTAAGTTATAGGTGGAGCTGGCCCTCCTCAAAAATCAAAGAGGTAACCAGCGTATTGAGTAGTCTCAACTCAGTGGAGTTCAAATCTGACATGGTTTTTTTATTTTTCTGCAGTCTCTACCTGCAACCAAACTCTGCCCTCTTTCTTACCCTGTAACAGCATCTTAAGCAGATACTCTAATTTTCACTCATGTTCATGCATGAAGAGTTTAAAACTCCAATATCCAATCGCATATCTGATTTAAACTTGTTTTCCTCTCTCCCCTCTCCCACCCTGTTCCCCTGGCCCGTGGTTGAGGGGCTGGAGTCAGGAGAGGGTGTGGTCTGCTCGTCTCCCTGCTGGAGCTGAGGTAGGACTGGGAGAAGAGGAGACAGAGGGTCTTCATATTCGGTATCTGTTGATGTGTCACAAATTGCCACAACTTAGCAGTCTGAAACAACACACACGTGTAATTTCACAGCTTAGCTGGGTCCTCTGCTCTGAGTCACAAGACTGTAATTAAAGTGACTGCCAGGCTGTGTTCTCATCCAGAGACGTGTCTGGAGAAGAATCCTCTCCTAAGTTTGCTCAGGTTGTTCACGGGATTCATTGCCACGTGGCTGTAGGACTAGGGTCTCTGGTATCTTAGTGGCTGTTGGCTGGAGGCTGTTCCCAGCTGCTAGCCGCATGAGCTTTCCAACATAGTTGCTTACTTCTTCAAGTCAGAGAGAAAGCCTCTAGCAAGATGGGCACTGCAATCTTATGTGATCACATGCACGTAATTACTTATATCTTTGCCACATTTCATTGGTAGAAGCAAGTCACAGGTCCCACCCACGCTCATGGGGAAGGATTCCTCAAGGGCATCTCTTCAGGGCATCCCACTTATGATGCATAGCTCAGGTTGAATGGTCACTTGGCGCCCATTGGTCAGGCTCTCAGTCTCTGTGAGGTCCCAATAGTGGACCAGGAGTTATTTTTCAGATGTAATTCTCTGCTAGAGAGAGCATGACCTTGTTCCAGAAGCCCAGGTTGTGTGCTGCAGTTCCCCTATCAGAGCTTTCCAGACTCCACATAGCATCCTGAGCCAACACAGCTACTTCCAGCACCACCGGACATGCTAGACCACGAGGCCCAAGAAGTGGGACAGCTTGTTTACAGTCTGGACCTGCTGCAGGGGTCTTTTCTAGCTCTGGGACTCGCTTGGACCTGGTAACCTTCTGGGTCACCTCACAACTAGTTTGAAATGATATTCTCAAGTACAGCACACCTGGTCTCCAAATCCGAAGAGGCCAAATAAATGCTGTGCCTCTCTCTTAGTGCTGGGAAATACAAGGTGCAACATCTTGTCCTGTACAGCAAGTTCCAGAACAGGGTTTTTGGAAAGGAGGTGGTAATGGAGGGAATCTGAGGAGATACAATATAGTAAGGAGAATACACACTGTGGATTACACAAATATCTTTACTTTTTCATTCCAACCATCTGAATTCAGGGAACAAAACTGATATCTCTGTGTGTGTGTTTTTAACCATCCTGCCCTGTGTCTAGACTTTACCAGTAGCTCATCATTACCTTGGATGATCAGTTATTATTTGACAAATAACTGCCAAATAACTTTGCCTTATTTGACGATTACCTGGCACCATTTACAGGTGAGAAAACTGAGATCAGGATCAAGAGACTTAGCTTCAGTCACATAATGAGAGCATTAGTCTGAAACCTGGGGTTTCCAACTTGGGACCTCTAGGTATGGGGATGGGGACAGATTATAGCCACCAAGTCCTGAGTGTTTGCCATGAGCAAGTGCCACGCTGAGTGCTTTACAAGCATGGACTCGTATACCCTTATAACACACCCACAAAGGAGACGCTCTGATTATCACCCCCACTTCACAGACAGGGAAGCTGGGACTTGGGAAGGCTGAGTGACTTGCCCAAGGTCACACAGTCAGGAAGTGGACATTAGAACCAGGTGGTCTGGCTTCAGATCGTGTGATCTTAACTTCTAGCCAGTACAGACGCCAAGGAGTTAGGAGCGCCCTGCTCTGCTACTTTCCCACTGAATGGTTTCACGTAAAAGACACTCGAGTGCTACTTTCCCACTGAATGGTTTCACGTAAAAGACACTCGAGGAGAGCAGAAAAGGAGCAGACTTTCCAAGCCTTTATCTAGCGCTAGAACAAAAACGCTCTCTATAGAATTTTCCTGTAAAGACCAAAATATTCAAACTCTAGGAAACAAGAATTCGCGAGGTAGGTATAGCTCAGTGGCAGAATGCACGCTTACCATGCATGAGGTCCTGGGTGCGACTCCCAGTACTTCCACTTAAAAACCAAAACAAAACTGGAATCCAGGAAACTTTTCTAACCACCAGTTAAAACTCTTCCCTTTTAGTAACTTGTGCTTTGCTGCAATTTCAGCCCAAAACATGGACTCATTTGCAGAACCATAGTATCTTTGAATGTAGTTTTTCATCCAGCAGAATGTGCTTTGCTGACATCACAAGCGATCGTGACACACTCCCACGATGCTACCGAAAGGAGCAGTGATATTTCAGATTTCACATACTGCCTTTTCCCTGAACAGCTGTCCGCGTTTACAGGACCTAAGGCATTACTTTATAGTGACTCTTACTGTGTCTGTTTGGTCAACATGTATTCTCTGCCTGGAGGACACCAAACACGCTAGGGGCTAGACATGCAATAGTAAATAAAAACTCGGCAACCTGTTCTTTTGGAGTTCATGTCTGGGTGAAGAGAAGTACCCACGGCATATTAACCTTTTAGTGCCTCTTACTTCTTATTGAAAACCAGCAGGTAACAGAAGAAGCACATTGAAAGTGAGGGACTGAGAATTGAAATGGACACCTTTGGGCCCTGACCTCAACAGCCCCCTTTCCCCATGGGTCTGCATGTGCCTGGCTGGGTTTCTAAATCACAGCTTTATTATGGAATTAGTACATGAATGCATCATGAGCCAGGCCTAGTCAAGTTCTTCCTTGTTCTTCTGAAAGTATAAAAAACTTCCTCCTTAACATAATATACTTAATAATTATATTCACAGTTGTTTTGAAAAGTATAAGGCCTTTTGCAAATGTAATATTTAAATGTAATGTTAGTGTTGACACTGATTAATTAGATCAATTGCTTAGTTTTTAATTAGTATATGGGCTCAAAGAGCATCTGATTTCCTTGAGTAAACAACTATTCAAGTAGAGGAGATCACGATGGCAGAGTAGGAGGGCGTGGGGCTCACCTCCCCACCAACAAACTCATCAAAAATACATCTATGTGTGGAACAATTCTCACAGAATAACAACTGAAAGCTGGCAGAAGATCTCTTATAGGACCAAAGCTGCAGGAAAGATCCCCACATACCTGGGTAGCAGAAATGGGGGAAAAAAAGGAAACAATGAATCAATGGTAGAAAAGAGAGGTTTCTGAGTTTCTTTTCTTCATTCTTTTCCACTCCAAGGTGGAAATCTTCTCTGATTTATGTTGAATTCCCAGGGC